TCCAAATACCCCGGGTTACAACTCAGTTGGAAGTCCCTATTACAACAGAACATGCAGAGCGCAGAGACAGGGATGTTCATTTCCAACACAAGGAAGTAAAGGAGCTGCAAAGCTACAGTAGCTAGAGGAGGATTAGCGTTCCTGAATTCCATGCAAGAAAAAACCATTGCCTCTGTAATCCACTGGTTAGGCATGAATTTTGCCCTTGCCTACAAAATGTGGTTACATTCAAGGTATGTCAGGTTAATTTCTAAGCTTGTCTAGGATCAGAAGCTATATTGTTCCCCAAATTGCAATACTACCCTTTAAACTAGTCCTAAGCTTTGGCATGTTTTCTTAAATGATTGCGTAGTCCTGACATGTGAAATTCCTCCAATCTCTTCCACTTTGCAAACTCCAGAACCATTTGATCAATAAGTTAAAATCCAAGGGAGAACTGACTGTTAGCTACGGCTTCAGACATGCAAAGCGCACAACCCTGAGAAACAGCAGCATCTGGACAGGAGGCTCCCATTACTTCACATGGAGATGGCATAGATTTTATTTTTTATTTTTTTATTTTTTCAAATCAAACACAGAAAACCAGTGGTGACCCAGGGTGGACACACTGTGTGGGATGTAGAGTTGAGCAAGGACCCAGACCTGGGAGCCACCTGTTCCTCTAGCTTGCAGACATTGATTTCACACCACCTCAGGCCACTCACAGTTCGCTTACCTGCTCATTGTTGCTCTCCCACCATTCCCCATACTCCCTTTGGGGGTGAAACACTCTATTTCCGACTTGTGCTGGGCCAGCCTCCTGTCTTTGTACCTGGTGAGCACGAACAAGGACAGGAGCAAACAAAAACACGTGATTGTGTGCTTAACTGTCAGGCTGGGGAAGAGCCTTGACTAGAGATGGGGTCACCCAGTGCCAACAGGATTCCTTTTAGCAATATAACAGCTGACTTGTGGCATTTACTAGATGATTATGATGGTATGGGAAGAACATTTAGGATGATTTTGTTATTTCTTTGTTAAACCATATGTACTCTTAATTTTATACATTTAGATGAATCTGTTAGTCACATCTAATGTCAATAATAAAAGGAATACTATTTCTAGTATCTAACAAAAGATGATATCAATCAATAAATGAGAATTTATTTACTGCAAACACTGCACTAGAGCTTTAAATATAATTCTGTCAACAGTCATGTCACAGAGTCTCTGTTATTTATATTCCCATGTTTCTGATGAAGAAATCTAAAATTACAAAGATTAAGTAAAGACAGTTATTGATTGATCTGGGTTTTGAACAGAGGAAATCAGAGTTTAGAAAACCATACTTGAGCCATTATAATAATTACCTTCAGCACCAAAAGACAACAAAACACATTTCTTGAATATGAAAGACTGGATAGCTGTTATTCTGATAGGATTGGGTCACCTGTATTTTCAAGTGTGCCACAAATGCTTTTTGTGTCAGAAATGGCCATTCATTTTTCCTGAAATGTATTAGACATTTAATCAAAAAGGAGTGATGAGAGTTTCCACATCATTTTACTACAAGGTACATCAAGATGTACCTTAAAGACTTCAATAAGGTGTTTTCTTTTTAATTTTTTTATCAAGATATCATGCTTTTGCAGAATTGATCTCTCTTACTCATTCCTTTCAGATCTATAGAGTAGGTGAAAAAAGCATTGTTATTCCCATTTGCCAAATGAGAAGAACAAGATAAGCTTAAATAGCTTCACCAAAGTTGCAAGGCTAGCCAGTACAGCATAACTGCCTCACTTCCTCCCACCCTCCCTCCCTCCCATCCCCTCTCCTCCCCCTTCCCTTCCCTTCTCTTCCCTTCCCTTCCCTTCATCTTGGGGCTGCCCTGAGCTCTTCAGCTCAAGGCTAGTGCTCTACGGCTAGTGCTCTACCACTTCTGGTTTTCTGGTGGTTAATTGGAGATAAGAGTCTCACGGACTTCCTGCTTTTACTGGCTTTGAAACGTTATCCTCTGTTCTCAGCCTCCTAAGTAGCTAGGATTACTGGCCTGAGCCTCGGGTGCCCCGCTTCCATTGTAGTTTCCAAATGAATGGAAAAACTAAGCCTCTTAACAAGGAGTCAAGGCAAAGAATGAGTAGTGTATGTTTTGGGCAGTAATAGTGTTTGAACTCAGGGTATTATGCTTACTTACTAGGCAAGCATTCTACTCCAGGAGTAGTTTGATGGAAAGCAAGAAGTTAGAAACAAAAATTACTAGAGAAAAGTCATTGGAAGAATCTGTAAGTTTTAATGTTTTCCTCTTGTCTGTGGTTGTTTTTATCAGAAGATTGGCACAGGCTTTGATTATTCTAATAGTGTTATTGAAATGTGTTCATTCCTCATGTATGTGCTATATATCAGGGATCTGACAAATCTGTTCTTTCCTTTACAGTTCTTAGGCTTTCTACCAATGCAGGCCAGTGGAAGGAGGCAGCTAGCAAGGTGACCCACGCCTTGGTTAATATCAGGTGAGTAATGAGACTGTCTTTTTTTTTTTCAAAGATCTTTGGCTCTCTCTGAGCTTTAGTGCACCTTTCTAAGGAGAATACATGGAGCACTACTGCTATTTTAAACCCGATACTGTAGGAGTTGAGGAAGTTGTCTTACTTGATCAAGAAAAGCAGGAGAACATGAAGCTTTCATTTTGTCATATTGAAATAGCTCAAAGTGCTGGCTGTTCTGTGAATTTTCTATCAAGAGATGTTTGTGAGTGCTTCTCAGGTGTCTTAGCTGCCAAAGTGTTTCCTATGTAAAAGCCAACTATCTAAAAGCTTTTTTCTGAAGATTTCTTCTGCTATTCTCTATGACTTTACCTGATGACTCATGGGGTTCTAGAACTTTTGACATTATATGTGGCTATTTCAATTTGTAGTAAACAGGAAGAGGAATCCATAGGACTAAAGTCATCTTAGATTCCTTATGAAACACAATACAGTTCTAGAGTGCTGGGTATGTTGTGTGAGACTTGGAACTAGTCAGAGTCATGAGAGGTGCCAGTCATTCACTCCCAAGAGTGCACTGTTCCTAAGTGAAAAAGTGCTTATGGCGTTAGGGAACCTAACTGATTTTTCTTCTAGTCTTTGCTGTCTTCATGCCTGTGATTTTCCATTTTCTCAACAGTTATTAAATTGTTTTGCAAACAATTGAAAAATTAACATTGAGTAAAAGAGGGAATTGTAACAGATGGGGAACTTGATTTAGCTCCAGATGTAAGTAAGCCTTGACAGACATTCCCATAATAGTAATGAACATGCACAACTTGGTATAGATTCTAATGTGTGACAGAGCTGGGGTAGAATGTTTGTTCCTGTATCTTTCTTTCACAAAGGTAGACTGTCCTGTCCCTTCAGTGATTTACTACAGTGTTTGGTACATGAGGGAATAAAAGAAACACTGTGAAATATGTGAGATAGGAGGGCTGGGATGAGGGAGCATGGGGTGAGATATGCTAACAAGATTGCAATGAAGTTTAGACTGCTTTACATGCCCCCAGAGACATTTCAGCAAATACGGTTTTATAAATCTTACAAATAAATGCATATCTGCACCTAACACATAATCCAGACATTGTGCTGAGGCCTATGATAAATGTGAATTTCTGTAAGAATCTAAAATTACCCAGATATCCGTTTGTGACCCAAGGGCAGTATGACAAATGCCAGTGTTTAAATGAAGCACTAAGATAAGGGCTAGAGTATAAACTATATATGGGGTATAGTTTGTGTTGTATTTATTTATTCCTGTTATTACTCAGGCTTTCCCAGCAGCTTATTTTCATCTGGGGCCTGTTTACTTGATCACATTCCTCAAGGCTTACTTTATCTCCAACTTTGTTGCTTTTCCTTACAGTGGTTTCTGGCTTGGTTGCTGTCCTTATTCTTCCCAAGAGCCATCAAGTAGCTGATTTAAATTTTGGCCTTTCCTTTTTTCTGAATAGCTGAGAAAGTACCTGGTTGAGTTGAAACAGTGATTGTATCATGACCTCATTCTTGCCTGATTCTATCAGGCATTTGTTTTCATTTTCATTTGCTGCAGAAAATAACCACATTTTTAGCATTGCTAATGAATTAAGCATATGCAACCAAAGTAGCAACGTTTGGTTTTCTCAAGAGATTACTGGAAGCATATGTGTGAATCTTAGCATACAAGTCCAGACCAAGGTGAAATACTGATGATACACAGAAATTTACCTTTTCTCCTATTTTTTGGTTTGTTTGTTTGCCAGTCCTGGGGCTTGAATGCTGAGCCTGAGCACTGTCCCTGAGTTTTTTTTGCTCAAGGATAGTGCTCTACCACTTGATCTACAGCTCCACTTCCAGTTTTTTTGTAGTTTATTGGAGATAAGAGTCTCATGAACTTTCCTGCCTGGGCTGGCTTTGAACCATGATCCTCAGATCTTAGTCTCCTGAGTAGCCAGGAGTACAGTCATGAACCACCAGCACCCAGCTTACCTTTTCTCCTTTTGACATCTCTTTTACCTACTAAATACCAGACTTTGTGTTGTGTTGCACTTTCATTCTCTCTCTCTCTCTCTCTCTCTCTCTCTCTCACACAACAGACTTTGAAATCAGGGCCTTACCTTCATTCTGTATAGTTATAGTTTTACCATGAAGTAAAAAAAATCAGCATGATAAAAATTGAAAAAAGCATGGACAGTTGAGATAGAAAAGCTGGGTTTAAAGTTTTTTTTTTTTCTCTTGTAATCTCAGACAGAGATCAGAAGATTGAAGGTTGAGGTCAGCCCAGACAAAAAGTTAGCAAGACCCCATCTAAACAAATAAGTTAGGCATATTGGTTCATGTCTATGCTCCCAGCATAGATAGAAGGATTGAGATTGGAGGCCAGCCCTGGACAAAAAGTAGAAGGGCTTATTTGAAAAATAATCAAAGCAAAAAAAGGGGTTTGGGTGTGACTCATGTAGTATAGTACCTGTCTAGCAAGTCCAAGACCTGAGTTTAAATCCCAGTGCCCTCAGCACTAGTTTGTTGTTGTTGATTTGGTCATTATCATTTGCCGTATGACCTTGGCTAAATTATTTCTCTGGACCTCTTTCTAACTACATTTATAAAATGGGAATGATTATCATAGGAACTATTACATTGTATAGTGGTAGTAAAAATTATATAGTATAATGTATATTAAACTCTGTAAACTACACAATTTTTATCATTTTACCTGGAATAGTGTCTTCAAGGTTCATCCATCTTGTAGCATATGTCTGCACTCCATCCTTCTTAGGCCTAATAACATCCCATTGTATTTATGCACCATATCTTTTCATCTGTCAGTGGACGCTTGAATTACTTTTGCCTTTTGGTTATTGTAAATAATGCTGTTGTGAGCATAGGTTCTGTTCAAGATCTTGCTATCAGAACAGACATGGTAGTATATGCTTGGAATCCCCACACATGGAAGGCTAAGACAAGGGTTCAAAGCCAGCATAGGCTACATAGTGGGACCTGTCAATAAAAAAATAAGGTCCTGGGCTGGGAAGGTGGCTCAGTGGTAGAGTGCTTGCCTTGCATGCATGAGGCCCTGGGTTCGATTCTTCAGCACCACATAAGCAGAACAAGCCAGAAGTGGTGCTGTGGCTCGAGTGGTAGAGCTCTAGCCTTGAGCTGAAGAGGTGAGGGACAGCGCCCAGGCCCAGAGTTCAGGCCCCTTGACCGGCCAAAATAAAATTTAAAAAAAAAAAAGAGGTCCTACTTTCACATTTTTGAGGCATATACCCTGAAGACCAACTGCTGGATCATATAATCTGTTAATTTTTTTGAAGTTTTTGGCTAAATATTTTTATTTTTATTATAAAGATGATGTACAGTGTGGTTACAGTTACATAAGTCAGGTAGGGAGTACGTTTCTTTTTGTGCTGTGTCACCCATTCTCTCACTACCCATTTTTTCCTCCTGTGCCCACTCACAAGTTGTGTAGTTCTTTTTCAGCGTAGTGTCTAGTGAGTACCATTACTGCATTTGTTCACCATTAATTCTTCCATTTCTGTGCTCTCCTTACCCTCCCAAAGACATTTGTTTTGTTTTCTTTTAATTTTTTTTTTGCCAGTCCTGGGGATTGAACTCTGGGCCTGGATGCTGTCACTGAGCTCCTTTTGCTCAAAGCTAGCACTGTACCACTTGAGCCAGAATGCCACTTTCAGCTTTTTCTGTGATTAATTGGAGATAAGAGTCTCGTGGATTTTCCTGCCCAGGCTGGTTTTGAATCACAATCCTCAGATCTCAACCACTTCCAACTTTTTTCTTTTTGCTTATGTGGTGCTGAGGAATCAAACCCAGGGCCTCATGCATGCAAGGCAAGTATTCTACCACTGAGCCACCTTCCCAGCCCTTGTGAGACTCTTATCTCCAGTTAACCACCAGAAAACCTGAAGTGGCTGTGGCTCAAGTGTCAGCCTTGAGCTGAAGAGCTGAGGGACAGCTCCCAGGCCCAGAGTTCAAGCCCCATGACTGACAAGAAAAAAAAATTAATGAGTTTATTAAAGTTTATTTTCAGGAAGCACCCATTTTTGATTTGTCATGTTTAAAAAGTTTTCTTCATGTTATATAATAAAGATAATATAAGAATATAGAGTTATAAACTTCTCTGTTTATATTCTCTTATTCTCTGCTTGTACAGTATAGTATAGTCATCTTTGCAATGCTAGTTTGTATATACACACACACACACATTTTTTTTGCCAGTCCAGGGCTTGAACTGAGGGCTTAGGTGCTATCCCTGAGCCACTTTGTGCTCAAGGCTAGTGCTTTGCAACTTGAATCACAGCACCACCTCCAGCTTTTTCTGAGTATTGGAGAGAGAAGAGTCTTACAGACTTTTCTGCCTGGCTGGCTTCAAACTGTACTCCTCAGATCTCAGCTTCCTGAGTAGCTAGAATTACAGGCATGTGAGCCACTAGTGCTCAGCTAAAATAAACTTTCTTTTTTTTTTTTCAGTCATGGGGCTTGAACTTCCTGGGCACTCTCTCTCAGAACTTCAGCTCAAAGGTAGTACTCTACCACTTGAGCCACAGTGCCACTTCCGGCTTTTTCTGTTTATGTGGTGCTAAAGAATCAAACCAAGGTCCTCATGCATGCAAGGCAAGCACTCTACCACTGAGCCACTTTACCAGCCCCTAGAATAAATCTTAAAAAGTCTTCTGTACTTCGCTTCAAAAAGTTATTAATAAGCCGGGTGCCAGTGGCCCATGCCTGTAATCCTAGCTACTGAAGAGGCTGAGATCTGAGGATATTGGTTCAAAGCCAGCCTGGGCAGGAAAGTCCATGGAACTCTTATCTCCAATAAACTGCCAGGAAACCAGAAGTGGCGCTGTGGCTCAAGCAGTAGAGCGCTTGCCTTGAGCTGAAGAGCCGAGAGACAGCACCCAAACCCAGAGTTTAAGGCTCACAATGGACCAAAAAAAAAAGTTATTAATAGAGCTGGGGGCTGGGAAGGTGGCTTAGTGGTAGAGCGCTTG